ACTTGTTATTCATTGATGCTTTTTGGAAAGTGGGGTGAAAGAGAAATCAAAGACACCAAAACACAGTATAAAATGCTAACCTTTTTTTTTTTTAAATGGGGGCTGGGGAAAGGAAGGGAGGCAGGAGGGTGTGCAAGGATTTTAAAATGGTGCCTCCAGACAAATCTGGGATGCTGTTGCCTCTGTTAATGATGTCTACCTCCTGTAATCCTGCAAGAGGTAGGTTTAAGATTTTTACCCACCTAGTGTTGTACCTATCGGACTGATGGACAAAGAGTGCATTTCTTGTACTTGTGTAAGTTTTACCGTCTTCTCTCCATATCACTTCAGTAATTTTGTCAGACTTTAAGAGGGCAAATACTAGTTCTTCACGGTCGGCCCTTCAGGCACCGAGGTTTGAAAGGTGGCTGCGCTGTACTGAGTGGAGTCGGAGCCCTGGCAGTTCAGCCCTGAACCATGCTCACTCGTCGATCAGCACGCACCAGGCCTTCAGCTGAAGCTTTTTAAACTCTAGAAGCGTGGTGGAAAACTTGTATGAATCCTGTGCGTATTTAATTTTTTTTTTCTCCTTGATATAAGTGTGTTCTACTTTTAAAGTTGTTTCTTTTTTAATCCCCCCCACCCAGTGAAGGGCAGCTGCTTCCTTACATCAGTACTTTTTCACAGCTGCTCTACAGCAGAGGAATTTTTTTGTGGGAGGGGGGTGGGAAAGCAAATGTGGAGTTATGGATTGGGGAGAGGACATATATTTTTATGTTCTTGCAATAGCAGAATAAAGAGAGAGAAAAACTGTTTACATACTTGTAGTGAAGTCAGCTTCTATGTGTTTTAAAACCTTCATGTGTCCTTAATGTTTGTTTCATGCTGGGCCAGCAGAACTAACTTTTTTCATACAAAGCCAGACGTTTATATCTTATGTTTAAAACTTGTCTTAGTAAAAACTGCCCTAATTCTGTAAGGAGGTAGGGGTTTTTTTAAATGATTACACTTTTTATTAAAAGATTTGAAGACAAGAATGAAAGAGATGGAAGGCTTATCTGTTCCATTTCCCTTTCCATGAAGTTGAAATCAAAGCCTAGGAAAACCTTGGATGTCCTTCACAGAACAGTTTCTTACTGCCCTCCCAAGCAGTAATTGTATAATTAACTTGCTGGGGATGCATCATCCTTACAGCATCATCAGTGTAACTATCCTACCCTTGTACAGCTTCCAAACTTCTGGCTTTAAAATAAGCCAAGCCAGAAATCTGTACTGAAGGATGCATTAGCTCAGTGGAAGCATCCATTACTGATAAAGACCCTACAGTGTTGGCAATTAACACCTTGTTTATTGAACCTATGGCTGCCAGTTCCAATGATTTGTGCATAATCCAAGCATTACTTCTACGTCCTTCAATACAGGACAGATTTCTAGGCTAGTGTGCCATCAGATATTTAACCCAGGCTTTCAAAGGAGGAAGGTTCAGCACCAGGAACAGCTAGCAGAAGAGGCAAGCAATCACCCTGCCAGAGCTCTCATTCCAGTACAGCTCTACCCCATTGACAAGTACTTGCTGGTTTTCCCCCTTAGGGAGAGACAACAGAACCCTCCCCTGAACATCTGAAATGCAGAGAGGTGAGGGTGGTATATGTGGGTGTTCTGTGTTCTACATGCCCCAGTGCTGAAGGAGCAAATGAAAGGTGCAGTCATTAAGTTCTGCTGCAGCAGCTGAATCAGAGCATAGACTAATCCACTGGAAGAGGTACAAGTGGGTAGAGACTGGACACACAGTTGTTTGCCACCTGCAATGACTGTGTTTAAAGTGCTTCTACAGTACTCTACTACCAAAAGCCATTCAATTTGTAACATGCTGCATTGGAATCCAGGTGTTTAGAACTACAACCACCTATTTCCATTAATATCTCTTATGTACAAGATAAAGGATGTCAATACAAGTCTTAATTAAAATTAATAATTTTCTCTATTAAGAGACTTGGAAATCTGTGTTTAAGAGGTACTTACAAGAAAATAATGAAAGCTGGCACTAGTATACAGTGATTAAAGCTTTTCAGCAGTGTATGAAATTAAATCGAGAACTTCTAGCTACATATATCCTTTTTAAGGGAAGACCTACTCCACCTAGACCCTCCTGCATAACTTCAAGAAAGGAGTTACCTTCACCAACACAGCCAGACTTTCCCTGCATCTCAGCCCACAACACTCCATCCCCCACAGCCAGAGACCCAGGTGAAGCACAGGGACAATGTTGAAGCCAGACTGTTTCATGTGCTGAAGGCTTCCTGCACACACACACTTTGAAGCCACACAAGTGTCACACACCATGACATTCCACAGCAAGAAGGTTATTTCTGCAAAGCAGCAATTGTCCTTAGGTACATAAAACCCCCAGCTGTAACAACCAGAGGGTGTCAGATTACTCCCACAGAACACAGGATCCTCTCTCGTAGGAAAATGCATGACAATGTAAGACTATGCAAGAAACAAGAACCGTCACAATCAAGCTCAGGTCTTCCTGGTCCAGGTTCAGTGGCTGGAAGCAACTGGTTGGATGCTGTTGGTGTCTAAACAAACTAACTACTAACATCATGAAGTCAAGGCCTACCTTTCCATGTTAGTAACTCAGCAGGTAGGGGTTTGGTGTTTTGTTTTTTAATAGACAGCAAGACTAAGGTATATTTGCCCAGCAAGTTTATTACACAAGATTGAAACCTACAAACACTGCAACTTTGCCAGGAGGAAGCCCTGATACATACAATGCCTGCTGCTCTTTGGTGTGTAGTCCTGCTAGAGCTCTTAAGGTTAATCATCCAAATCCCACCATGTACCAGAAGCTGTGGTGTTCAAGATGTGACCACTACCACACATCTCCCATTACACAGAACAGGGGTTCCAGTTAGTGAAGATTATACTTAATGGTTACAGCAGATGTTTTAGCAGAAGACTACAGAGACATCCCATCAGGGTAACTTTAATTGCAATATACATCATACAAAATTAAGTCAGTCTTAAGTCAGTCTTCACCAGTTTAAGTGATACTCAGAATGCAGAGTAGTAATGAGATTAAGTGATACATCTTTTGCTTGCACAAGGAAGGGCAAGTACAACACTTGCAGTGAAATACAGCCCATTTATCACTGTCATCTTAAGCATTTCAGGTTTAACACTTTGCTATTCCAATTACACCACAAGCTAAACGAGGTCCAGCATTTCCGGTTAACTTGCTCTCATTATCTCCCCCTCTACCCAGGTCATCACGTTTTTCATGTACCTAAAAAAGAATTAAAGATAACCTTAATTAATGTTATTGCATAACTAATCAATGCTTTTCACTATTCAGTAGCAGCAGTGACAAGCAGTATTCCCAACAACCAGCAAGTTGTGTTGCACAGAGAACCTACTGTAATTATGTAATGCTGAATGCCAAATTGATACTTGTGCTAAAAATTTAGACTTCTCTAAAAATAAGCTGCCTTCAGCTGCACTTGTTTGAACTGAAAGTCACCAAAACCCCCATGTTTCAAAGAGTTACTACTAGTCCAAGACCAAGCTTGGACTTGACACTGACAGTCACCCTGACAACCTAACACTGACCACTGTACAGCAGGTGCAGTGCCCTGGCCACACCATCCCAAAGCGCTACACTACACATCTCCCTGCTCCTTGGCCATCAGTCCAAGCCCATTTTGTGCAGGAGTGACCCCAGCATGCACCAGAGTCCCAGGGGAAAGAAGAGTGACAATGCTCATCTATGGCCAAGTCCCTTCAGCCTCCTCCCCGCTCCTGCCCAGAGACACCACAGCACAAGTTACACCATCAGCTACAGAACCAGTACTAGTGAACCGTGTCCTCAAGTGCCCATTGCCATGCAGTGACAGCATTTGTGTCAGACTGACAGTTCCTTCCTCAAATCAGGTTGCTTAAGTCACTCACAGCTGGAAGAAGCGAAGTTAAATGGACAGGAACAGCTTAAGAAGGCAGGCAGCAAATTAAATCTCATGGCAATGAAGTACCACACTAATACACAGATGACTTTCAGGCAAGGCTTCAACGAACTCCCCATGCTGGATGTCTTGCACTTCAAGTTCTATAACCAACACCAGGGACTAGCCTCCAGCATCAAAAAGTGCCCACTCACTGGCAAGACTGCTCGAGTTCCTTAAAGCATCTGTGTAGGTACCATGACACTTACCACCATGGTACGTCCAACGATGTTATGTGGTCCACTAAGAGAAATGATGGAATCTTCTATATCCACTTCTGCCACTCCTCCTTTAGCAGTCACATTGCCAAGGTCTCCCACATGCCTACACAAAGATGCACAGAAACTCATAGAAAGCCTGGTTAAACCGAAAGCCCAAATGATGGCCTGGACATTAAGATACCCGTAGTTACTATGCTCAAGTGCTCCACCATCTTATCTTCAACTGCACATGTGTCCTCATTTACCACCACCAGTCTTAACACTTCCACCATTTTAACTGCTCTAGTTCAAGAGAAATTAAAATTCAGTCCTAGACAGAAATTGAACCTAGAAGGTTAATCAACCTTTTTTGAGGAAAGTAATTCCATTACCCCCTAGCAAGCCAAGACTGCACAACTCATTCAGCTAAGAATTCCTCCACGCTTATGGCATTTCCCTTTGTTCAGAAAGAGAGTCTCTCAAATTAGGTGAAATAACCTTGCCTGCACATGCAAGATTTGGTGTAAACACTGCCACTATTCTTAAGAGCTTTTAATGTATACCACAAATCAGCTATTCCAAAAAACTGGAGGCTTTAGGTGTAAGTAGGATTAGTAAAAGCAGTTTGTCAAGTTTCAGGTCAAAGGGGATGCATTAAGTGCTAGCTAAGTTCTGATCAGTACCAGGGATGGCTATTTGAGTGTGCTTGGCACCTCCCCATACACATGGCATTGTACACTACCACACAGTTTTCATCAGAGCTAGTTCTCCCCTAGGGCTTCCCTAAAGAATTAAGCCTCAAGCAGTTCAGTTTGCACTGAACTTCTGGACATTCCAGCATATTGTTGCCTACACATCTGCCCCAAATAAACCACTCAAAAGACAAGCTGATGATGCTCTGCAACACTCTTCTATCCAGATTCAGAACCTTAAATACCAACTCATTTCTAAAATTCTCCATGGGTGTCAGGTGACCAGCTCAGTTCACTTCACTGAATGCTGACTACCAGCTTCTTAGACTGCATAGAGTCAATTTCATATTTTTTACCAAGTCTTATAAAATCAGGTCAAGGACAGTTTTCCCTTTAAGAATTTGTTGATTTAAGCCTCCAGTCCAATTGTTTCAACTCTACACTGAACAAAGCATGATCTAGTTCTTACTCCTAAGGAATTCGTCAGCTTACAGCTGCCTGAACAGGCAGATTACACTAGAAGCAGGATTTGACAAAGCCAAACCAGCAGAAGCCATGATGTTCATGCAATTTTGACCTTTAGCACTGGAGCAGTTGGCTGCCAGTGAAGCCCGTGAGCACACCATTTCATTCTGCTCTGGCTTACAGACAGCTGGCTAGCAGCCAGCTTGCTTGGTCTGACATGCTACTGATCAGTCAGGTGTGAATTCACTCACAGAAGGTGCAGTTATAGACATTAGTGTGAGCATTTGAAGGCTAATCACAATGCCAAGTCAGAACCAATGCTAGTCCAGACCCTACCTGTGCAAAACACTTGCTCCTAGCTCCACTCACTACCACACTGTCCTTCAGCTCTTACACAGCCCCCTCCCAGTCTTCAAACCCAGTTATGACACCATTTAAACCAGTTGCTCAGACATCAGGTGGCAAACACACATAGGTTTCCTTGAAGGTACTGGGACCATGAAAACTGCTTCCAGGGGAAGAACTAGGTCTCAGCTGCCACTGAGGTACAGAGACACTCAGCATAAGCATCAGACCCTGTACTTAAAGCACACACAACCCCTGAGGAACACATACTGTAGGTAGCACAGTATCCAAGCTAACAGGCTAAGAACAGGCCACCACACCCCATAAAAAGCCACCATGCCCAGGCACACACATCTTTGTATTCTATTCATCTTTCAGTATCCCCAGAAGCCTCAGTGACCTCCATTGATGATCCTGATCTGCCACATGACAAGCTTGCATAAAGCTCAACAATTGGCAGTTTAGGGCCCCTGTTGTTAAAAGCTGACCACTGACCAAATAAGGCTTTAACACATGAACTCTCCCCACTCAGACCCTGAGGAACCTTCACTAAGAGCATTTATTTTATTTTCTCTCCAAGCTGCAATAAAACCAATAAAACATCCCAAAGACTACATTTGACCCACACTCTTGCATCCAAGGTGTCTAACAAACTGCTGTATGGTTTTCAGAGCCTTTGTTATGTGACTCTAGAAGTCCTGATGGAATCACCAGTTTTCTTCCAGTATCATCCTGGCATTATTCATGAAGTGGCCTCCCAAGCACAAAGTAGCACGTAGATGGCTGATACAGGAGCAGCTATGCAGTAAGAGGCCAGGCACATTAAACTCACCTTTCTGCATCACTTGGTCCGCCATGCTGCTTGCCTTCAGGATTGAAGTGAGAACCTGCACTGGTACACCCTGAAACAGAACACAGCCACCAAGATTAGTTTTTTTTGCAGTAGCCAGTTTAGGCCTGTTACTTATATAGTATACCAAGGTAGTCCTCCTACAGCCAGATGAACTGAAGTCACTAATGATGAAATAGCGACTCTCCTGTTACATGTTCTACTAATCCTTTGGAAGTAAGTAACCTACTACAGAGAAGTTCCATAAAGTAAGATTACTCATTCTAAAACACTCTGGGCTTGGTTAAAAGTCCTCCTACCTCTTAACACTAGATTATGAAAGTATTTAGGTTAGTGCTTGATATGCCAGATTTTGAACACCAGTCTAAACACGTTCAAAATATTAAACAGGAAGCAATTCCTTAAGAAATGTCATAATTTCTTAAAACAGATTCACAATCATGAGATCTACTAAGTACACTTATACTAGTTGCTGCTGCAACACTAAGAGAAGCTCTTTAAAGCTGAGCAATCACATTACAGCTCTAACACAAAAAGCTTAGATGTACATCTTACCATTTGTATTGTCCCCAAATTCATGGACATGGAAGCCATGATCTCCATCAGCCAAGCCACTGATTTTTCCCGTAACTTTTACTGGTCCATTACCCTTAAATGGAAAGAATCTATTATCACCAAAATGACTACAGCACTAAATGCCCTTGTGTCAAGTGAAGCTTCCTAGTCAAAAGAAAGCACTACAGACTCCACTACAAGCTCAGCTACCAAGCTATCAACAATTACATTAACTGATTCTATATGCCAATACAGTAGCTCACAGAATATCTGCATTTATTTAGCCACGTAAAATATAATCTTCCTATTATGTATCACGTAGCAAAAAGACTGCTTGCCTGTGAGCATGATCATGTACTTCCATTTGGAAGCATAAGGATCCCTGAAGCCATCCTCCTCTCCAGGTAAGAGTATTGCCTGGATGTAGCCCCAGCATCTTTACTGAGTACAAACGAATGAGTGTTCAGAAGGGCTCTGGCCATCTGGCAACCAAAGCTCCGTTAAGCCCTACTCTGGCACCAGTAAACAAGCTCCAGAGGAAGCCTAAGGACGGCTCCAGCACTGACCTCTGCCCAGCACCCCCGAGGAAGGCAGAAGGCCGAGACTCGCTGCTGGCCCCGTGAATGCTCCCCCACCCCCTCTCCACGCTGGGGCACGCTTGGTGACCGGGGAAAGGGGGGCGGGGACCGACGCGCTCCGCACCG